TCTGTCTTGCGGTGGGTGGGGGAATGTTTCCGAGAGCGTGCTGCGGTCTACTCTGATTCTGCGGCTGCATTGGAGGCAGTGGCGGTTCTACATGGAATTACTCCCCGGGCGAGGCCCCCTTTGAGCCCCCCCACCACCACCACCACCACCACCACCACCACCCCACCTGCACGCACACATGCATGTTTTCTACAAACAGGCATGTTTTATTAGAACGACTATTGAACATTCGTTTTTCTAAGTTGCACATGTTTACATTAATTACTATGAAGTTGTCAGAATGTAAAGCAATATACATTATATACTGTATCAAAATTTATAGAATCAAATATACAAAAACAAACAATAACTAAATATTAAGAATATATGAACATAATATATAATAAATATTCTAAATAGCAAAAATATTTCACACGTAACAAACTAAAGATAATCACTACAGCATTGCACTTAGAACAGAAAACACAAACTAAAATTAAAACCTAACCTCGATGCAAAGTCATCAATAATGTCATCATATGAAATCTGCTCCCCTACTGAGTGATTGATGCTAATCAGAGCCAGGTTAGTGAGCCGCCCCTGAAACATAGTTGACCTCAGGGATGACTTGATCAAGTTTTGAAAAGCTCCTCTCAGCTTGAGCCACAGTGACTGGCAGAGCAGTCCAAAAGTCGGGGTGGATCTCCAATAGATCTTGATCATGATCCATAATATTTTAGAATTGCCTCTGAAATTGTAATTTAAACTGACATAAAAAACTGTAGACTACCAAAAATGCCAACTTTTACAGAACAAATCAGGTAAAAAATAATCAGTGCAGCCATCTGCAATAAATAAACAGGATAGTTAGTGGTGACTGGGGAGTTTTCTTCTGCTTGTACAGTTGTTTTATTTATTATTATGTGAACATGATCAACATGTGTTTGTTGTTGTTCAGGCAGGCCACAGGCTGCAGCGAGCATTTAACAAATCCTAGTTTGAATCAGTAAAAAACGATTCAAGGACTTTTTTCCAACCGTTTGAATATTCGTTTCAATATTTCAGCCCTATTAGCTCTGTTAGCAATTAGTTGACCGAATGTAACCGTTAAAATCCCAGTTAACTGGTTCAAAAAATTTAAAACATGCATCATGAGAGTGTACATACCTTTATCTTTCTCCTCTTTTTTTCTTTTTATTCCTGAATCGGGCACCTGGTGGTTTTAGCCTTTTTATGTTCATCTCTTCTGTTTGGCTCTTGACTCAATAAGTTTCCTTTAGTCAGGACTAAACAATTCGACCTTGATGGGGGGGTGACCACAAAATCGTTTTGTTTTTCCTTTTTTTATTCGGTCATTTCACACAATTCAGAAAAACCTGAAAGAATGATAGGCCTGTGTTTATGATGTTATGAATGAAATGTGCGTTAAATGGAAGAACATCAAGATGTGATTGACTTTAGCCATGTCAATACAGTTGATTCAGCCCCTACCCGCTCATTTCATTTGGGAAAGACCCAGAGGTGAATTCCCCCGCCGCACCCCTCCTCTTCCTCTTCTTCATACACACACGGTGCATGTGAACCCGAGCGCCTGTAGCTGCAGGGGACACCAACTTCCTGTTTCCAATCCAGACACTGTGATATGACAGATAGAATAGAAAACCTCGGAGCGGCGCAGATTTCTTTCTTTTTTATTTTTTACTCAGCGCTTCTGTGCCCCTTTTGTGTCATGAAAAAATACCACCCTATTCAACTGCCCTGTCTGCCCGTGCCTAAAACCGCTACTGATTGGAGGATCTGTTGGGGGCGGGATTCGGCTCTAGACCCGATCTGGTGTTTTTAGCCAGGGTATTGCTCCATGAGCTGCGGGCTCGTGGTAGTGAGGTTTGTTTTGTTGGGTCTCCGCACATTTGGGGGTGGTGGGCAACAAACAGGTGGACTCAGTGGCCAAGGCAGCGCTTACGAATGGTACAGGTTGGAGGTCGATATGGGATACCCTGAGTATTGTTCTGCAATAGGCAGGGAGGTCTTGAAGCTGTGGCAGGCCTCCTGGGATGTTGGGGTGGTAGGCAGGGGGTTTTATAAGTTGCACCGGATGGTGGGTGGACGTGAGTTGGACCTTGATTTTGGGAGGAGGGACTCGGTGGTCCTGACTCGGTTAAAGTTGGGCCATTGTGGTCTTTGTGGCAGCTTGTTTTTAGGGGGAAACACCGAGATGGGGGGTGTGATTGTGGAGAGCTGGAGACAGTGACTCATGTTCTGCTGCGTTGTGGGAGGTACGACCATGAGCGGGGGACCTATTATAGGAGGTTGGGGTCAACAGGCCTTGCTGTTTTTTCCCTGCAGACCTTGTTGGGAGTGGAGGATCGATGTAGAGTGAGGGCGCTGCTGTGCTTTTTACGAGAGATGGGGGGTTTATGACAGGCTGTGACATCTATTGGCAGTGAGTAGTGCGGTTGCGGCAGCAATATGCCTCGTGGGCGTCCTGCCATTCCCCCATTGCAGAAGAAGAAGACATTCTGGGAGCTTCTTGTAAACAAGTAGTCTCCTGGGTTTGTTTGAAGGCTTTAGGTCTGAGATGTGGCTTTGCTTCTGTGGTGTTTGGACTCCATTTGCATTTGAGATGTACTACTTAGCTGTAGTTTTTGACCCAAGGTTCTCTGAGTGATGTAAACGGTTGTTTTGTCTTGTTTGCCCCTGCTCCTGTTGAACTCCTCATGTGAACTAAATTCTACTCTCTTGTCTTGATGACAAGTTCAATTTTGGTTTAATTGTCCAGCAAGGGATTCAATATTTGCTGGTTGTTGGTTCTCTTTTTTTACCCTTTTATTTTTACTTTGAGACTGTGTCTAGTATTATTTATGTTAGTATTTCCAGTCCTTTGGCTGATGCATTTATCCTTATGACTACAAAGGATTAAATCCTTTGTTAAACAAGTTCTTTCTCCCCCGTGTTCGTTATTACTACATGTTCTGGGTCAGACTAAGGGATTCCCCAAACCGAGCCAAGTCAGTGTCTGTTAACAAGACCATAACGCCCCATCTTTCCATCACTTCACTTTACATTTAGTTTTCCCATCCCTATTACTAAGTTCCCCAGTATTAATAATAATAATAATACATTTTATTTCAACAGCACCTTTCTGAACACTCAAGGACACTTTACAGAGATAAAATACACAACAATAAAAGATAAAACAGCATATTAGATGTCCTCTTTTGGTTCTTGTTTCTAGTTTCAGGGTTATTAGTTCTCCTACCTTAAAGTGTTGTTTGTTTGCAGTATTTAGATTAGTTTTCCCCTTCAGTGTTTTATGTTCCTTCCCCACTTGAGCCTAGTCCACACGTAGCCGGGTTTTTTTTAAACGAATATCCGTCCCTCCAAAAACTTGCATCCACACCACCTCGTTTTAAAACAAAACTCTGTCCACACGTACCCGGATAAATACGTTGTTAAGGACATGCCAGACCTGTAGGCGGCAGTACTTCCCCGTCCTTAACCTCGTCCTTCGTCTGTGGTCTTCCGCAAGGAGCAGTAATTCCGCTTGCAAAAACAAACAAGCAAAAAGCGCTTGGACAACTGATAAAGCGAGCGCAGCTCTGAGGGCTTCCATGCTGTCGGCTAGTGTAAACACAGGTCGCACACGTGATGTCAGCATTTTTTATCGCGGAAAGTGACGTTGCGGACCTTAAAACTCCGGTTATGTCTGTCCACACGCAGACACCCAAAACGGAGAAAACGCAGATCTTCACTTTGGCCGGAGTTTTTAAAAAGATCCGTTTTCGTGTGAAAAAACTCCGTTTTCGTGTGGATGACAGGCCAAAACGTAGAAAAATATCTATGTTTTGGCAGATCCCCGGCTACGTGTGGACAGGGCCTCAGTTAATTAGTCTCTCCTGCCTCCCTTCAGCTCTCGCTCCCCACACACCTGCTACCTGTTTCCCTGATTGCTTTCCTCTGTGTATAAAGCCCTGTCTTGTCTCACTGTTTGTTGGTTCAATGTCTTTGTCAGTGTGACTTGTTGCCTCCTGTGCTCTCGAGCGTCCCTCAGTAAGTTTGGATCTCTCGTTCTGCTCCTTGTGTCTTTGCTAAATCCATTTTTGGGGTGGGGGGGGGTTATCTCCTTTATTGATCTGCTCAGCTCCTCCTAAAATAAAGGATTCTTATTTTAGCAACTGCTCCTTGTTGTGTTGTTCTGGGTTCCTGCATTTGGGTCCAAACCTCCTACCAACACTGACACAAATCAGTATGTTCAGCCTCCTTCATACTGACTGCAGAATGGATGCAGTCTGGTTTCCATGCAGCTTCCATACATCGATTCTAGATGTGGAGCTCCAGAAGGTTTTGGCATGGAGTCTATTTATTTTTTATTTTTTCCAGCATGCAGATTGCTGTAAAGTTAGAGAAATCCCATGAGCCAGACAGGAAGCGAGACGTGGAGCAGCATGGTGCATCTGGTAAACTTCATAATAAACCCCATGTTGCATCATCCATGCCGGCTTTTGTTATTGATGACAGCGACATGACTTCAGTGTATGATAGTTCACGTCATTTTTGCAGGTTTGTTTTTAAAAGTGCATTATGTAGAATGCAGCAAAAATGACATCCTGTAGTAAAATTTGGTTACTGCAACCACTTTAAGCAACTCTGGAGCTTTTTGCTGGCCATTGTCAAATTACAGTTGTCGGCGCTGCAGCATTATCTCACAGGAGGCACGGCACCCCCACACTCGTGATGGTAAACGGTTGTTATGTCCCTCGTTCCTTTGTTTTGAAAGGAGAAAAACTGACAATCCCTGCAGCCAGCTGGATATGAAATATGTTTCAGTATAATCTTCCTTCCAAAATGACTGAAACATTACGCCCTTGGGATTTTCTCACTGTAAAAACTTATTCTTAGACACTGCACCTTTAAACATGTCAAATGTGTAATCAGTTGGTGCTCTTGTTAAAGCAGATATCTGGAGACGTTCAACACACGAACCACAGCCAGTGTGAATGAGGGAGTCCGGTCCGCTGAAAGAGGCTTTGTGAGCATGTTAGTTTATTTTTCGTTTTATAAATGAATTATTTTAACAACAGCTCTGTAAAATTCTTTTCCATTACACAACTGGATCCCTTAGCCAGCAGGATTATTAATGATTATCACTGATCGATTATAGAATAAACCCCTCTTTTCTTCCTAAAGTGGCAGTAAACAAAACTCAAGAAAAACAAAGTCAAAAATCATTTATTTTCATAATATAGTTGATATTTCATTAAAACTATGATTGACTATGAAGTACAGTGGTTTTACAAGAGACTGTGTACACATGCTCTAGTCCTGATAAAGTAAGCACTAAACTGATGTTTGTTTAACAAAGCCTTCGTGGAAGCAGAAGCTATGAAACATAAAATCACAGTAGATCCAGTGAAGGTTCTGTCTAAAAACCAGTCTCTAAATTATTTAATAAGCCATCCGTTTGTTTGTTTGTTTGTTTGTTGTTTCGTGATGCCGCCTCTTCTGTTTCTGAACCCGTTCCCATGTGAGTCCCCTTGTGTGTGTTTTTGAAGTCTGGATTTCAGCGGTCAGCATTCATTTTTCGTAGTTTTGGTGGCAGATTGTCTTCTAATCTCCCTCCAGCTGAGAGAAGAGGGCTGTGCATGAGAACTGGAGTGGGCGACAGCGTTGATGGTGGGCTGCGCTGGTACAGGTCTCCTGTGGACTGTGTCATGGGCTCAAAACCCACCTTGAGGGATTTGAGTTGCAGCCGATTCTGCGCCACGGGACTGGGAGAGGAGCTGAGCCTCTGCAGCTTTAGGGGAAGGTCTCCTGTGCTGCAGGCCTTCTCCGAGTGCTGTGAGCCGAGCAGAAGCACCTTCCTCTGTAGGTCCTCTTTCCCAGATGAGCTCATCCTCTGCAGCTTGCTCGGCAGCCGTCCTCCAATTCCTCCATGACGACCTTTTTCCTCCGAAGTGTTGATGCAGTCCACAGAAAACACCCGGTCCCGTCGAGCGCTGCGGCTCTCAGTCAGTGCGGGGGTGGGAGTGGACATAGGGGAGGGCAATGAGTTCTTCTCTTCCAGCTCTTTGACGCTGTACGGGGGTGTTGGGACCTCAAATGTGCTGTGAAACTGAGAGTAGTCCACCCGGAAGAAACCTTCCTCCAGGGACATCACAGGGAGGAAACGGTGGCCCCATAACACCTCGTCCTCAGTGTAGGACGTCCTCGCCTGGCACGTCATACCTACGAGAGTAACAGGACAGTAATTATCTTAAAACCAGCGGCTGCAAACATGCAAACAAAACAGTTAGTGGGTTTTTGGAGGAACAGGTCATCACCCCCTCCCATCCTCTCTTCATTTTTACATTGGGCTGTTTTTTTCTGCAGTCATTTAGTTCGATTCAAAGATGACAGTAAAACCAATTTAAAGGTTTTGGGCTCATAAAAGCAACATTAAAGCTTTTACATTTTATTATTGTCTTTCTGGTCTCAAAGCCCAGCTAAATGGTCTTTAATGGAAGCTAGAGAAATATTTCATTACGGAAAACGGCTTTTGGTTTGCAGTGGAAAAAAAGCAAATCTAATGTCAAATGGTGTTTCACGATAATCATATTTGGTGTTGTTAATGTTTGTAGAAGAAGACTAATGTTCATGATCATCTTAGTTTATGGAGGACAAGGGAAGGCTAAGCAGAACAGGGCCAGTTCTGTCCACTGAGGTCCGTCGAGTGGGTTAGGGAGGAGAGGATGTCCAAGCAGACGTCCATCCTACATCACGCCTTCCACCCCCTGAATGAGACAGCGGTGTAAAACAAGTCACTACTGCAGGTCATTCTCATCAGACTTTAGGGAAACTATTCAGCATCTTCTGACCGACGTCTGTTTTGTTACCCTTTACTCTGCAATCCCTATCACGAGTGGGGTTCAGCGGGTTACCCACGCCTCTCGGCGAAGGGTAGACACACGCTGATCCACTCAGTGTGGCGCGCGTGCAGCCCCGGACATCTCAGGGCATCACAGACCTGTTATTGCTCAATCTCGTGTGGCTGAACGCCACTTGTCCCTCTAAGAAGTTGGACGCCGACCGCACGGGGCCGCATAACTAGTTAGCATGCCGGAGTCTCGTTCGTTATCGGAGTTAACCAGACAAATCGCTCCACCAACTAAGAACAGCCATGCACCACCACCCACAGAATCGAGAAAGAGCCATCAATCTGTCAATGCTTTCCGTGTCCTTACAGGGTCCCTCTGTCCATTTTCTTCTGATGTTCCTCTCCTTAGCAACGCTCTCTAGCTCCTCCAGGATCTTAAGGCAACTCTGGCCAGACGGGACATGTATTCTCTCCTGGGCGCATCGTAGTCGGATACCAAAACCACCACAGCTGCAGGAACTCTACTCTGAGTTCCTCATGGAAAAACGTCTCCCTTTCCTCCCCAGGAGCTTCTCTGTTCTCACACCTTAGTCCAAAAAAAAACCACCATTGGTTTTGAAGTCAGTGAGAAGTTTAAACATCTTGATGATAAAGAAGGAGGTTAAACGATTGATTTTAACAATTAACACAAGTTTTCATTCACTTATGTCAATTTTTGCATGATTACAACTGTTAGCAGGCAACTATGGAACCATTTTAATTGTAACCTCAGTCCTGCTAAAAGGATTTTGTGTATACTTCTCTTCGTGATCACCATATTCCACCTTTTTGTAAACCACTGGCTTCTGTTAAGCAGAAGAGGAGCCGCTGAGGGATGATATGGGCAGTTTTGTCCTAGCCCAATGCTATTCCAGGTTCAGTCTTTCCCCAGAAATCCTTTACCAGTCCTGCATCATCTCAGAGGGGATTGCTATGCTAATTTAGCCCAGAGGCTTGTCTGTAATCACAGCAGTGAGCAGAGGGTAATGTTCCATCCTTTCTCTGTTCTCTTATCACGAGAACGACCGTGTTTCTTGTGACTGCTGCTGATGCACCTGACAACAGCAATACAAGCGAAGTGGACATTTGTGGGGTTTGAGCCTGACAGGCATGCCATTTTGGTTTCATCTTTCAGGCGTCGTTTCCACGTACCTGGATAATGTTCACTGCATCTTGCATAAAAATAAAAGCCTTCAGCAAAACAAAGACTCTGCAGAAAGCAAGCAGGACATCCCTGAATAAGGTCTTATATAAACATCCTGGCAGTAGGTCTTACTGGGTCAGTTCACAGTGAAAGTTACCGGTGAATCATATGAACTAAAGCTCTGGCACTCATGCTCGGTTTTGAATGAACACTCTGAATTAGACATTTTGAGGTGTTTATGTTTATGTGCTTAGCAGACGCTTTTACCCAAAGCGACTTACAATTTTTTTAACCTATAGGGCATGCTGTGATCTGTGGGGGAGACCGGAGTACCCGGAGACAACCCACGCATGCATGGGGAGAACACGCAAGTCCACGCAGAAAGGCCGCAGCCGAGTTTCGAACCTACAACCTTCGTGCTGCGAGGCAACAGTGCTAACCACTGCGCCACCATGCAGCCAGGTGTGTATCCTATAGACCTGATTGACTTCTGTTTAGAGAAAAAAAAAGTTCACGCCTTTCAGGACTGATAAGTGCAGCCAAAACCAAAGTGCCCTCCTCACTTTTAAAATATTCTCCAATTGTTGAAATGTTCATAAACCTTCATGCTGCTGTCATCATCACATTACCCTGTAATCTTTTAGAGGAATAATGTGCATTTCCTGTAGGCCTCTCTGGATGTGCCAGAACTGCTACATTTTGCTTGTAAATAACCATGCATGTAAATAACTCTATCATAGAGGGGTATATGACGGGCTAATCAGTAATGGAAGGAATCACAACAAATATTTAAGTCATCATTAAAAATGAGAAATAGTTTTTACTTGATATTTTTAAAACATGATCAGCCACTCTGAGTTTCACACGCGGGCTAAACGTGAAAGTAGTCTTCTACCCGTTTCCTGCAGCTGATAGAAGACTGACGGGGAAACACTCGGAAAAATCCGCTTAGATCTGTATCACATTGAAATTTAGCATTCTTGAACGCAACCATCCTGACGTGTGATGGGGAAGGCTGTTGTTGATTTAGCGTCCAGGAGAGGACCAAGTGTGTCTCATCTAGTAGAAGCTAACTGTTAGCATTAGCAACTCCACCCCACAGCAGAACTCCTTCAGGCTTGTGTTATTTGTGGAGATAAAACACCAATGATGCAAAGCAAACAGAGTTAGTGCTAGAGTTGTGCTGATGTCATCCAATCAGAGGCCAGATGTGAGAACATCAAGAAATAAAACTCCAAATTCTGCCATCTTCTACTCCCTTCTACTCTGGCTCACTTCTACTTCCTGAAACAGGAGTGCCTTAGTTGTTTTTTCTTCACACAGAGATCAACTCCCAAGGCATTCATTTGTACTAGAGACCACAGTAAATGTGTTGGAAAACAAGTGAACTTGGACTTTAATAAAATAATAATGGAGTCTGGAACCACGTTGCATCCATTTCTCCTCCCCACTGATTTTAATTAGGAGCTGAAATGTAAAATAAAATACATGTCTGATTAATTGCATAGCTCTGGTGTAAAAATCAACTAAATATCATCTGCAAAAAGTAAAAGTTACATTTTGGAGATTGACAGTAGTAGACTTTGCTTTTGGCTGCTCTCTTGTTGTTGCCTTGCAAACTCAAGTTGTCTCAACAGAGACCAGTCAGGGAACTAGGAAAGTACTTATTTATATCCTTTATACAGAAAGACACTTTAAATACCTGAAAACCCCTATTAAGTGCAATTTAAAATAATTGGATGATTGAGGTTGTCATTGCTCTGCTAGAAATCAAGTAACCAATTAGCAAAATGTTAAAACACCACAGGTTCGTGTTTCTGACTCATGGACTGGTGTTGATAGATGGGGCGTTTCATCAAGAGTTCAACACAAATGTGGAGTTTTCTTTTAAATGTTGTCCAGTAAGTGTCGTCATGTATTTGCCTAGTGTTAAAGGGCTGGTATTAATCAGATTAATCTTACTTTTTACTCTAGTTGTTCTCCCTTTTCACCTTGACAACAAGCACATCTGAAGAATTTAGCTTTGCTATGTTTTTAGATCCATCACTTCGAGCAGAAACAGAAGTCATGAGTCAACAGTTCAGTTTGAAAATCAGTCATTAGTAAATTTGTACTTATCACAAAGATACAATTTAACTTTGATCTGCCTTCATTGGTGTATTCATTCAGTGCATTTCTATCAGCAGGGGATAAGTTAAAATATCAATCACCTTTCTGGGTGATGACAGAGCTAGAAACACAAAGACAGGATGATCATTTCTGACTTAAGGTTTAATGAACCTTATAAAAACCCTAGTTGATTCAGCAGGTATTGTTTCAGATCTGGAACACAGTCTGATCGCTAACCCTCTGGCTTTTACAGAGAGTTTTAAGTACATCTGCCTCCTCTTAATTCTCAGCTGTAGCTGAGTGTGCAGAAAAAGCTGCTTTAAAGACATTTTATTGAACCAATGACAGAGTATTCTTTTTCTGCACCTCAGCTCAAGGTGCAACAGCTCTATTGATGTTAAACCTTCTGCGCCCAGATGAACGGTTTAAGCAGCTGAGCAGAGAGTGGGCTGCCTCCCTGTCTCTATTCACGTTGATCCTTCTCTCCTGCTCATCCTGAGCCTGCTCTGCTCTCCCTCAGCAGCGACAGAGCGCACTTCTGAAGAGGAGCTACAGAGAAAAGAGGAATATCTGTTTTGGACTTCAGCAGAGAATTATGCTGTTAAATATGCGACAGGGAGCTGAGGGTTCTCCAGAGTGGCTGCCTTTATGAACAGAGCAGAGCTTCAACTGAAACCTCACCTCATTCATCATGGTCACACGTGCATCTATGACCTGTCCACGGCAATCTATAATCAATCTATCCTTAGGAAATGGCTACGTACCACAGGATTTTAAGGTTGCTGTAATCAAACCTTTACTTAAGAAGCCTTCTCTGGATCCAGATGACCCAATGAATTATAGACCAATATCTAACCTTCCATTTTTATCCAAAGTCCTGGAGAAAATAGTGACCATCCAAGTATGTGAGCATCTAAACACTAATGCTCTGTTTGAGGAATTTCAGTCTGGTTTTAGAGAGTATCACAGCACTGAAACTGCATTAGTGAGAGTTACAAATGATATTCTCATGGTCTCAGATAAGAATCTTGTGTCTGTTCTAGACTTGTTAGAGCTCAGTGCTGCCTTTGACACAGTTGATCACACCAGCACCCTCTGCTCATCCCTTCAGCTCGCTATAGGGCACGTGGCGAACGGGCTTTTTCAGTTTGTGCGCCTAAGCTTTGGAACCAACTCCCCCTGACGGTCTGACTCGCCCCCTCCCTTACAGCTTTTAAAGTACGTCTGAAGACATATTTTTATTCCCTGGCTTATCCAGCTGAGATTGTTTAACCCTTAAGTTTGTCTGTTATTTTAGTTTTTTTATCTAATGACGCCACTGCTTTCTAGTTTGGTGATCTGTTACTTTAGTTTTTAGGTGTTTTTATCTATTCTATGCTGCTGTCTTCTAGTTTGGTGTCCTATCGTCTTGTACAGCAGTTTGGTTGGCGTAAACGCCGTTTAAACATGCTTTATAAATAAAGGATGATGATGATGAATGTTCTTTTAGAAAGACTTGAACATGTTGTAGGGATAAAAGGAACAGCGTTAGGCTGGTTTAAATCCTACCTGTCTGATAGATTTCATTTTGTAAATTAACATGACAAATCTTCTTCATACTCCAGGGTTACTTGTGGAGTACCACAGGGTTCAGTGCTTGGACCAATTCTTTTTACTAAAAATATACTTCCAATTGGTAAAATCATTCGACAGCATAGGATAAACTTTCACTGTTATGCTGACGATACTCAGTTATATTTATCCATTAACCCTGATGAACCTAATTGATTAATTAGATTACAGGCTTGTCTTGAAGACCTCAAAAATTGGATGACTCAAAACTTTCTGCTTTTAAATCAAGACAAGACTGAAGTTCTCATCTTTGGACCTGAAATTCAGAAAAAGAAATTGCTTAGTCAATCACCTGACCTGAATGGAGTCAAATAAATCTCCGAGAACAAAGTAAGGAACTTTGGTGTGATCTTCGACCGCAGGACATGTCATTCAAATCCCAGGTTAAACAGGTTTTTACGATTTCCTTTTTCCACCTCCAGAATATTGCTAAAACTAGAAGCATGCCTTCCAGGAGTGATGCTGAAAAACTAGTTCATGCATTTATCACATCAAGACTGGATTACTGTAATTCATTACTCTCAGGAAGTCCACAGAATGTAGTTAAAAGTCTTCAGCTTGTCCAAAATGCTGCAGCTAGAGTTCTGATGAGAATTTAAAAAAGCGATCATATCTCTCCTGTCTTGGCTTCCCTACATTGGCTAACTGTTAAATTCAGAATAGATTTTAAGATCCTTCTTCTCACATATAAAGCTCTTAATAATCAAGCTCCATCATACATCAGTAATCTGATAGTTCCTTACGTTCCTAACCAAGCACTTCGCTCTCAGACTGCAGGTTTACTGGTGGTTCCCAGAATATCTAAAATTAGGATGGGAGGCAGATCTTTTAGTTATCAAGCTCCTCTCCTGTGGAACCAGCTCCCAGCCTTAGTCCGTGAGGCAGACACCTTGGCTACCTTTAAGACTAGGCTTAAAACATTTTTATTTGATAGGGCCTATGGTTAAAATCTGATGTTAGCCTAAATCAGGACAAGTGGGGGAGTACAGGGAGGTGGAGTGTACAGTCCGTAAAGACGGCTCTCCCTTGCTCTGACTCCAACATGCCTCCATCTAAAAAGTTAGGTTATCCAGAGTTATCTCTGTAGTTATGCTGCTATAGGCTTAGACTGCTGGAGGATACACTGACCACTTCTCACACTCTACTGCTTTATTCTGCAGTCTGCTCTTTAACTGTATTATTTTCTGCAATTTCAGCTGTTAACTTTATTTTCTCTCTAAGTGCTTTTCTCCCCAGAAGAAGCTACAATGATGTTCTGCTGAGCTTTGGTGGCCTCGGGGAGGGGACCATGGGCTTGAACACTGCTGCTAACCACTTAAACATTCTCCCTCTCCTGATAATAACTTTTTGATTTCCCTGACGTTGGACGTGTTACTACTAGTTTACCCGTTTAATTATAGATTCACTAGGATAAATACAATAAAGTTTATCTCTCACCAAATAGAATATTTACTAAGAAATCACAATGTAACCATAGAAACATTTCTTGGTGTAAATGGTGTGTGTGTGTGTGTGTGTGTGTGTGTGTGTGTGTGTGTGTGTGTGTGTGTGTGTGTGTGTGTGTGTGTGTGTGTGTGTGTGTGTGTGTGTGTGTGTGTGTGTGTGTGTGTGTGTGTGTGTGTGTGCTCTGTTTTCTTGGTCCCCAGTGAGTCGTGGAGGATGGCTGCTTATACTGAGCCAGGATCCTCTGGAGGTTTCTTCCTGTTAAAAGGGAGTTTTCCTCTCCACTGTCACTAAATGCTTGCTTAGTATGAGGACTGCATCAAGTCACTGACACCAGTCAGTGACTTGATGCAATCTGCTGGGTTCCTTATATAGGAAACTTTTTACTGATTGGCTTAATTAACTGACCTGTATTGGAATGTTTATTATGTGAAGTGCCTTGAGACGACTCTTGTCGTGATTTGGTGCTATATAAATAAACTTGAATTGAATTGAATGACCACAGGCTTTTATTATGCATGGAGTGGACATAAACTGAATGCGGAGTAATAAAATATTCCTCATGATTCAGCAGGTTCATGACTGAATCCTTCACATGTGCTGCTCTTCCTGTTTGTTTTTCATCTGATTTTAAAAATGCAAAGCAAAGCTAAAGAAAGAGAAATCAGTTTAGATTTCAGTCTTTCAGGGAGTATTTTTACTATGTATGGATCTTTACTGATGTTTATGTTCTGACTTGGAAAAAGAAAAAGAATAAAAGGGGGAGAGAGGTGATAGGAAAGGTTTCTCACCGGTGGTCTCCACGATGCCCTCCAGGATAACAACTATTTCAAACTGTTCGTTCATAAGAGAGCGCTGCGATAAGTCAAAAAACGGGCTCTTGGGATTTATTTCGTGGCAAATTGTGAGAGGCGACACCAGGAAAAGCTGATCTGCACCTGTCCCAAAACCGACATCCAACTCACACTGGTCCAGAGGCAGGAACTCCCCCTCAGGCGTCTGACGAGACTGGAGGGTACAGAATTAAAGGAGGGCAGAGACAGAAAGAGGGTCGTAGAGGAATAAAAGAAGACACAGAGAGAGATGATTAGAAACACATTTTTACAATACAGGATAAAAGCTTATTCTCACATCCCAAAAAGTGTGGTTCTTCTGTTTAGCTAGACAAAATGTCTTTCAAAATATACGTAAATGTATTATTTTTTTAAAAATCACTAAAAAGAAAATAAGCTCAAACTGTTGAAATAATTACTTAAGGTGGACATTACAGATTACTTGGATAAAATATCAGTAAAACTGCTCATCTACACATGAGAGAATCTTGTTTATATGGAAATTAGGTTTATGTATCAAAATGAGGTGTGTTCAAGTATCAAAGAAGCTGGTTACATATGTCCACTCTTTACTATTCAGCTGATTCACCTTTTCTGCGTGGAACATTTTATGCTTCCAGGTGTTTTCTTTAGCTGTTGGTCGTTTTGCCCACATCTAGCATTTTTGTTATTAATGTTGTGCTATAATGTATGGAAAGGTAGATTAATCCTTCACAGTTGTTAAACAGTGTTACTGTTTTAGTTCAGATTTTAAAATGTACTTTTATTCTTTAAAAAAACATTTTTCCAAAATTAATTTTCCTCCAAATATATCTTAATTTATTTCAGTGTTATGTGGGAGGGAGAAATAACTATCAGAATGATTAATAGGATGAACATCATCATGTAAAAATTATTTCATCCCATTAATTATTATTATGACATACATTTTGATTTCTAAAATGTTTCATTGTTTTACTACCAATAACCTGAATGTGTCGAGCCAAACTCCTACACACACACACACACACCTGCACCCCACAGCCGTTATTAGCCTCCCACGCTGACATACCTGCAGTCTCATTCTATCAAGCACTCAACCAATCAAAAAAAAAGTCTATTAATCACATAAATCCCAAATTATCACATAACATTGTTTGATTTCAGACTTTCAACTTTTCATTTCATTACAAGACTATTTAAACCCATCTGACCTTGTATTTTACAGAAGAACTGTTTAACCTAATTTTTAGAGTTGTGATAAAGAAGTCACGACTGACTTTGAGCAGAAACTTCAATTCAATGAGAAGTCCAAGCTGCTATAGTTGGTCTAAAATTGGCCTTCTTTACCTTGATATGGTGGCATAAAGAGCGTTAACAGATGTACCGTAAATCCTCTAATATTAGTCTGTATTTAATTAACTGCTGGGTATCGTATTTTGGCCAGTGTCAGAGTCGGCGGAGGTGAATAATGGCCGTTTTTTTATTGTGGCCGGGTGGAATGTGGAAACAAGCAACTACGGGGGGTGGGGGGTTGTCATCCGTCTCACTTTTGATTTGTCAGTGATAGACCGCGAGGGTAACTTTAACCGTGGGGAGACGAAGAGGAGGCGAAAATTTAATATCAAGTTCAAAGAGAACGTGCTGATTATGCTGCAGAACACTCTGGGGAGCAGTAGTAGGGGTTGTATGAACTAGTCACTAGTCGACTTCACCGCTCTATAGTGACTTTTTATGCCTGTCATCGACTAGTCGCTGTCACGTGATAATGACCGGCAAAATGCAGTCCACGGAAAAGACAGCAACCTGTTGTCAGCAGGTGACAAGCTCCTGCGCGTCGGGAGGCAATGCGCTGTACCAGAGCGTCGGTACTGACACCCGCCGTAAAACGGACATTTAACCAAATTGTGACGTTTACCCTCTTGCAATTTAACCTTCCCCTCACCCCCATCCTAACCTTAACCAGCTTGCGCATGCAAAGCTCTGATTGTTGACGCGCTCCAGACATATGCGTCCTGAGCACGGCCACAGTAACATTATCAAATCAGGTGTCGCCACCTCAAAAACTAATTCAACACGCGAACGTTCATGTCGGCTCATTTCCTTTTATGTTTTCTGTTTTTTAGTCTTTTATTTGTGCCTGATGCGTTTCGCTGCTGTGGATTGGGGCGCATCACCTGTTTTGTCCTCGGTGACGCACCGATCACTGATGCGACCGGCGAGCACTCCGCTGTTTTTGCGGTCGGTAGATCTTTTAGAACTGCAGTTCAAAGGTAACTCATAAGGTGAATATATATGAACCCAGGTAGCAGTTTTTCTTTAGGATTGAGAGGAGATGCAGGAAGATAATAAACAGGCAGGACAGAAAAATAGTCAAATAAAAACAAGTTAGTTTTTGTACCTGGTGGTTGCAACAAACAAACACCATCGAAGGTAATCAGAAGTGAGGAACAGAAAATGAAATAATTATTTTAATGTTTAGAGCAGCAGGAACTCCGAGAGGCTGCAGGCGCATCAGTGAGTTTGCGGCCGCTGCGCAGGGGGAGGGGGGAGAGGGCTGAAGCAGAAACTACCGTTGTTAAAAGAAATGTGTTTAACTTTGAAAATGTGGGCGCAAATTTAACTGTCAAAAACTCCAGCGAACCATTAGTTCATTTTGCTCAAATAGAAATTGAGGCCTGCCTCTAATTCTGGTCCTCCTTCCAATAAAGGCCTGGAGCTTGATGAGCTTGTATCCTGTATTAGAGGATTTACGGTATTAGTATATGCAAATAGGCAATTCATAGCACCAACTTAAGTATAAGTAAGGATAAAACAAACTTTTATTGCACAGGGCAGCTTTTTGCTTTTACTCTTTTTAACATTTGGAAATGAAAGAGGCCTAGTTATTATTGTGCAAACCCAGGAAAGTTTTGTTTACATGTATTTCCCACAGAAAGTTCAGCTTACACTAACTTTTGAAGTCTCTAAAGGTTTCTGCTTATTGCAAACAAGCACCTTCCTTTTACTACACATAAATCATTCACCAGAACAGACAGTTTTGTCTGCCAGTGCAACATAACATGGTTTCCTCCCCTCTTAGTGCAGAGTGCACACACAAGCTTTCATAAAATAAACTCAGTGTTGACCTTATCTTTCTGGATACTGGAAATTAAATGTCTGCATAAAACAACACAAGCATGCAACAATTCACACCAATTCCTCCCAATGCTCACTGTTTAAGCCTCTGTTTTAGTAAAACTGAAATGTGACAAGGTGCAGGAAACACAAGTGTGCAATCAGCTTAAATGCCTCATTCACTAGTTTTTAAATAAATCTACTGAGGTGTGAATTTATGAGTCAATTTCTGTGGGAAAAATAGTTCTGGGGCTCCTGCTTCAGAGGGTGGAGGTTTGTCGGAGGAGTGGGGAGCAGAAAACGTCAGGATTATGAGTCTCGCTCAATAATATTCACAACATTCAAACATCTCTCCTCTGCTGGCGAATTGCAACGCAACTCTTCTACTGCCTTCATTATAAAACTCAGAATATAAAACATATTTTCTTGAGTGAAAAATGTAATGTTGATGTTTTATCTCCACATAACACAAGCCTGAAGGAGTTCTGCCATGTTGTGGAGTAGCTGGTGCTAAAGCTTAGCTTCTGCTAGCCAAGACGTGCTCTGCTTTCACCCTTTCGTGATTGCACGCCAAGATGGGTAAGACAATGGACACCAGTTTTTCCTTTAATGTAGAAGAGACGGCTTTTTCTGACCCCATCGTTTTGCCCTCTCTGTTCTTTCTGCAGCTAAAGCAGCAAATGGGGCTGAAGAAAATTTTTATGTTCAGCATCCATCTGAAAGTGAGAGCGCCTGATCATATTTGAATAGGAACTACCGTAACACCTTCACATTATTTAGTTTTGGGTACATAATGCTCATAATTCAACTCTCAGGACTCCCTCAGATTACATCTGGCTTTCAGTCGTACACCTGTAAAATTTCCACCAATTGCTTTTGTATTCATGCAACCTGTCCAGAGAGGCAAACACCTGCCTAAGTGTTGAAGTGCTTGCGCTAGTTTCTCACACCCAGAATGAAAACAATACCAGCAGGTGGTAGTGGGCCAGGTTTCAGCCTTATCACATTTTCATAAAGCCTTCATCTGTGTTTCAGCTTTAAATCCCAGTTTCATCCTGACCTACTGGCGAATTCCCCCCGTACTTCATCCATCTGAGAGCCAAACTGTGAATGAAGCGTGAGTAAACAAGCGTTGCATTGCCAGAAGACAGTGAATTGTTTTCCTTACTCCTGTGCATTTCAATGAGATGCTCCTCGGGATTTGCGTTGGAGTGGGACAGTCATGCCAGTTGGGGGTTTGTTCACACACAATGTGCTCACAGGCCACTGAGTACCGTTAGCATCAGCCCTCTGTGAGGGTTATCTCTGGCTAGTTTACAGAAAATCTACATTTTAGTTTCTGTCTTTGTCGCTTAAGATGTAGAAGATGGATGACTGTATGCAAATACTGACAGGAAAATCTCCTCACACAGGAACCGTCGGCAATCTGCTCCACTCCTCTATGCACAAAGACCCAGAGATATTTGAGCTTGTCTGCCTCTTTTTTTTTAAAACTTGACATGCTGTCCTAACAAATAAATAATTTAGATCCTGGAACACAAAGCTCTTATTTGTTTTATGCAATGCTTTTAGAGAAGACGTTGTAGAAGAAGCTAATTATTTTCTACCTTAAAGTGACAGTGTGTATTTTCCCTGGCGATAGGGTCAGTACATACCTAAATCACTGCAAGCAAGCATTATTTTTATGTTCAAATAAAACCTTTCTATGGATGGCCATTAGGGTCAAAAATCCCTGGGAGTGCAACCTCCAGCAAAATAACAAGAGCATCAGACTCCCTTTCATCACTGGCAACGAGTGAAGAAATAAATGTGTAAAACAACAATGTTAATTAATGGTGAAGGTTTTGTAACCATTTGTTACAAATCAGTAAATGCATTTTGTCCTCGCAGACTTCCGTAGAGGAAACGTGGCATCCAATATGGCGTCGCCCAGAGACTTAGACCCGCTCCGTGTATTTTAGAACAGATTTTTATGGTTATATGTTATGAAACTGCCAATATTTTTCAAAAACTTGACATCTTTTAATTAATTTACAACAACATTTTGATCTATATTTCCAGAGATTAATGGTGAAAATTACACATTGTCACTTTAAAGGTGCATTATTTAATGAATGAAGGAGACACTCTGTGGTGTAACTTGGGTACTGCAGCCCCTTTTCTAAACACACAAGTGACAATCTCACATTGTGTGAGTTTCATTGCTATTGCCAGAATTAGCACCAGAAGATTCTAGATGACAATCAAAGACGGGTCAAACACAGTAAGTTCTTGAGTAGATAAATACGTTTCACTGTATATGGAGTGTTGGTCATTGAAAAATTTGCTTGACATATCTCTAGAGCTGACTGTTTACCCTTCTTTATTCCAGGGGGTCCATATAGTGTCCTGCTTTACCCTCTGTGGATAGAGCAGATAAAGTAGTCGGCCACTATATGGGGACATTATTTACCATTTCTAATAAAGCAGCCAGTGCTGATGTACCTTTATAGTAGAGCTTATTTAAAGTCAGGCACATCTGTGGGCCACCTGATGCTTCTGCCCAATTTAACTTTCATCCTTGAAAAACACCGGCTTTATAAATGCATTAAACACTGTTATCTTCTTTACCTGTTTGTCAGCTTGTTTGATTACCTTTGGTAAAATGCCAAGCATTAATACTGAGCAGTGTACAAAATTACGATTTAACCGTTGGTTGGTGGGAATGTAGACCAGTTCAGCATCACTTAACTGCAAACTACCCCCCCCCCCCTCCCCCCTCCCACCCCCCAACCTGGAGTAGATCAATTAATTTTTGTTTTTAATCAAAGTAAATATGTCTGTTATGGCAAATCTGTAAACAAGCTTTTGAATGCAAACACGGTCACAGAACACTAACACCTTCCCTCGGGTGTCTTCCCAACCAGAAACCCGCAATGCTGGACGAAAGGAGATAGCGCTAAACACCAGTCGCCGTTTTCTACATCCAAACTTCTTTTGCTGTCCGCAACGTTAAATGCTGTTTTTCCTTTTGGGACACTGGTAGTTTGTCCTAAAGTTGAAGTGGTAACAGCCGGCTGTTTTTCCTTCTCTGGTATTACTGAGTGGAGAACCTCTCACACCAGTGGTGTTCTGTTGCTAAATACATGAGTGTGAATGAATAGAAGTCCCAGGGAAGTGAGGAAGTGCGGCGGGTTTGGCGAGACCGACAACCGGATGACCTGATGGTTGCTTTCGGTCTGAATCATGTTATTGGTGGAGCTTTCTAGACAAATGCAAGAGAACCACTTTATTAACGTTTTTTTTTTTACTTCACACACAATATATTTATAGCTATACTATGATGGAAGGAAGTTAGAGGAATGAAAAAAAACATTTTTAAGCTAGATGAATGCACCTCCTATTTATTATTTGGAGACTACATTTACTGCAGCTGGCAGAGGCAGAGATTGTCTCTATTGATACACGGAATTTACAGAATCATTTTAAATATTAACGGGGAAGACTGCAGGAGGGAGTGGTAAAATACAGGGGGTCCCCAGCAAAAACAAGAAACTTTACGAGTCTGATGAAACCCGCTGGTTTTCCATCAGGCAGTCACGGGGCAGCTCCAACGACCCAGTGGCTGTGCTGGGTCAATGTTATCGAGCTCAGTCCGGCTCGGCCGTGAACGAGCCGAGGCGACGTCGTGCTCTGCTTAAGAAGAAGTGTTATTTTCCTGCTTCAGAAGAAGCGTCCAACATGTTTTTATGCTTTCTCCGAGACACGTCACGTCGCTAAGTCGTTAGCGCTGCGCGCTAACACATCAATAGTGCAGCGTAGCCTACTGGAGGTTTTAAGGGTTCAGATGAAAACACCCGACCTCTCAGGCTGCTCACCCATCGATCTAAAGTTGTCACTGTTAGTGCTGTACGATACTGCAAAATCTGGTATAGATCCGATACCAAGTAAATACAGGGGCTAGTATTGCCGATACCGATACCAATACCGATACTTTTTACTCCTAGTCTAGTACCATCTAGTTTTGTGGGATTTATTAAGATAAATAGGATCAATAAAACTCAAGTTTTATTGATTACTTAATTTTTTGTAATTTTTCCTTTAATAAATCATGTGTACGATGATAATAAAATTCAGGGAACATTTTCAGGCAAAGAAAGTTTTCATTAGGAAACTCAAAATGGTTTAAAATGGTGAACAAGATTTTTTTCTATTTGAAATCTATAAAGCTGTGTAAAAAAAATTCCAAACGGCGCTCCTTTTTCGGTCTGCCATCACGCAGCCACAACAGTGCTTTCTGCTGTTCTGTGCTTGTCTTGTGCTGGCGCGCTGTTTTACTTTTTTTTATGTAACAGCGGACTGCCCCGTTGACTGACATCCGTGGTGTTCCAATCACAGTGCTTTACTGGTTTGTTGGGCCAATCACAGCGCTCTTTTAGCGAGGTAGGCGGGATGTCCCTGCAAACAAACATGGCTGCCGCTCGAAACGGTCCAATCACAGGTATCAGCCAGGTAAACTACAAATCAAGATGGCTTCCGTTCTGTAGTGGTCCAATCATGGCGCTATATAGATTTCATGGGCCAATCGCAACACTAAGTAGGCAGGATGTTATTGTAAAAAAAACAAACGTGACTAGTCGGCGGTCAGCCACTCGTTTGAAACGGCTTTGGCATCAAGTTTGGACTATTATGACTTTAGCTTTTGTTTGAGTCAAGATCAGATAGAAGTACAAACGTTTATTTAGGGAAAGGATGTGTTTTGCATCTTTGACGGAGTTTGGTGGACTGCCTCGTTGACCGACATCTGTAGCAGTGAGTACGTCATGGCTTGCCAGGCTAGAAGAAACGGAATCGATACCATCACGCAGGTATCTGGTAAATACTCAATACCAACGTTAGATCGATACTATCGATATTTTAGATCGATCCGCCCAGCCCTAGTCGCTGTTGCGCTCACGCCGTAATACAGTATTAGATGCGGTTAAAGTCAGACATGAAAAAATAAATAAAGTTTACATGAATAAGTGATGCTTAGCCTGGCGGGGGGAGAACCTGGCCTAGTAAGCACTGGAGGAAACCCTGTCAAGATCGTCAACACTCGTTTATCTTAATGCTATTGAAACATGTAAACCAAAAAGCATTACAATATATCCACTGCTACCTTTCTAATTTTAAACTCAGTAACTTATGCTGTAACTTCACCTTGCCCTGCCTCCTCCTTGCTGCCCGCCGGCTGTGATCACAAGCGACAACATAGTAGTTCCCGCTGCTTCTTTGGGAAACAGCGCCAAAATAAATAAATAAATAAATAAATAAAGGGATCTTGTAGGCGTGGCGGTGGGATTTCAGCCGTGGCGGGCCGCCACGGCTACGCCTATGTAAGGGAAACCTTGAGCAAATTTATTTTCCAAATCTACCATTTTAGTTTTAATTGAACATTTACTGTGATGGACAGCCATTGAGCTGTGATTGTTTGGGACTAGTTGGCCCGGTTGTACTGTTCCTTTTCCTCACACATCCGGAGAATAATAACCAAATTCCACGAGTTTTATACCTGTATGCGTAGGAACGCTCTGTGTGTCACTGTGTGGCAGAGGTGGGCACAAATGCCATAAATGTTCTTTACCTGTCATTGGAAATTACAGAGCACACAGGCTGCATAACTCAGGAATAAAAAGGTGTATTTTAGTTTTTGACTTGAAATCTTGACTCTGAAGTCTCCTGCGCACCTTTGTTGTTTTTGAACAAGTGTGTGGGAAGAAATACCTGCGGGCAAGAGTGAATCAAACACCTGCATTCTCTCTAGTTAAATGATGATTTTTCATAAGAAGCACAATGCAAATATCTCTATCTCCTCACTAAAACTTACATTTTGATGCAAATAAAGACGTGCATCTTTTTGTGCATTTTATTCCTTCAACAAAGAGTAGTAGAAGTGTAAAACGAGAAGCAAGTGAGCAGCTCAGACTCTATTTCTCTCTACAGCTCTGCTCAGTCTGATTGCAAATTTGAATCTCCTCTTAATGGAAAAACATGGAAATCAATTCCAGTTCTAGTGATTTTGCAGCCATCTAAGCAATCCTTAGTAGAGATGTACAGCAGAGAGGATTTCATCCTCTTATTAATCTCTGAATGCACCGCCACTCGAGTCATTTACATTCAGCTTCTCTACTTGTTCACCTTCCATCCAGCCTCCCAGTAAAACCAGTGCTTATTTCAGGAAGGATGTTCCACCACGATGCCCACTGAGGCTGTCACGGATGCCTAGCTGAGATCCGTGTCAGTGGGATTCTGGTTGACAGCTCCCATTGGTGTGTTTCACCAGGATTCCTGATTCCTGTCATCCATCAGTCGTCCGCTGCAGCGAGATAAGATTCTGCTGCACTGATCCAAACTCAGCCATGCACGCAACAGGTTGTGCAATTTTAGAAAAGATTCAGATATAGCCATTTAATCTTGTGACTTATTTATTTAATGTTTTAATTAGCTTAATAGATCAAGGTTTTGGTTTATTTAATTCATCTTACCGTTGTAAACCTACTGAGATTCTGTTTAGATTTTATATAACCAGTTAGAAGATATATTATTTGTTAAAATTGTCATTTTTATGATGTCCATAGTGGACGCCACTGGAAACCGTCCACTGGGTCTCCTCTGCAGACCAGCTGTGCAGCAGATTGCTGCCCAGCTCAGCAGACATGAAAGCAAGCCGCCAAAGAAGGAACCAGTGGTTTCCAGGGCATCACCAAGGGGAAAGGGAAAACCAAAACTGTGTGAGCTGCCGTGGGCAGATGGCTATAAACCCACTTGAAACCAAAGGTCAGCTCATCTCTGAATTGCAGTCGGAGTGGAGGAAGACTGGTGCTTTTATCCTACACAGTTCGACACTTCAGTCTGTAGGATCCACACACCACAAGAGCATGATGGGAGTTATTTTAGCTGACGCGCTGATTAATGACAGTCTTGCTGCTGCACTCTTTGCCCTCTTTGCCTCTAAACAAAGTCCCTGTACAATGAGTGATTACACACTTCATCCTGTTTTTGTTGGAGAAAAGTGGAGGCTCATCTTAAGTGCCATTGGCTCTGCAGTTGATTGCTTCTTTCTGTCTTTAACTTGAATTTTTTATGTGAAGAGACAATTCAACTCTTCTTCTCTATCTTATCCCCATGGCTCTGTGTCTGTCTTTGGGTGCACGGCTGCTTCT